GACTCTTTGGTAATTTATCAATCTCACATCGCACATTGTGAGATCAGATTAAGAACCGTGACATTTGAGTCCGAACTGTAGTGAGCCTAAATGAACAAAACGGGATTTCTCCGGAGGCATTCGGGGACGTCTACAACTACCCTTTGCAATTCTTCTCGGACCACATCACTCTCAACACCCAAGATGACATCAAAACTTGACATGTCAACCAACACTAAAGCAAAAGGAAGTCAGCGACCGGCAACCTCTATCTCTCACCCTGACACCCCTGGTCCAACATAACCTCACCATTAACAGGTGACTCTACCCTAAGTAGAGATGTTAACCGCACCACTTCTAACCCTAACACTGATGCAAATGTAGACGAAATAAAAGAATAAGATGCACCGGTATCAATCAACACATTGGTAATAGAATTACACAACAAGAAGTTACCTCTCACTATCAAAAGTACTGGCAACAAATCTGGCGTGGTAACAACATACGCATGCCCTATAGGTCTTTGCTCCACTTGCTAAGCATAAGTCTGATACACTGACTAAGCCAAAGAGGCTCTATGATTGGCCCTCGAGGCCTGTGCTGACGGTGTAGGCTGATCGTTTTATGTCTGTCTTGAACCAAATGCCCCAGATGTGCCACCTGCCTGAGGGTAAAACCTCCTTAGGTGCCCTAACTGTCCATACTGATAACAAGTATGCAGCTACCCTCTTCCCTGACTCTGGTTCTAAGAACGAGCCAAAGACGGTGCAGACAGTTACCCTCCTCCCTTCTGCAGGCAAACTACAGACTTATGACCCAACTAATCACACTTAAAGCAAGTGATCCTACACTAACCACCTCTCCCGGAACCAGAACTCAGTACTGGAAAAGTGGACCTAGACTATGCTCCCTAGGACTGCTATGGGTTGGAACCCCTCTACCTCTTGTTGTCCTAAGTCTCTCCCTGAACCTCCTGACTCATCTGCCTAGAGCCCCTCATCGGCTCCTCCTCAGTATAAATCACAGTCTCTAAGTGAGTCGTTGCCTCCATAAGACTACCGTAATCACTAATCATAGATGTGGCCACCTTGAAAAGGAGTCTGGTCCTCAACCTCTTCTCAAACTCCAAGCAACGGCATTCTTTCACTACAAGCTCCGGTGCAAACCTTGACAGACTAGTAAAGGAAACCTCAAACTCTGCCACCGGTGTGTTAAGTTGCTTAAGCTTCAAAAACTGCTCCCTCAACTTCTCCCTAACATTGGGAGATAAAAACTTGTCCTGGAAGGCATTAACAAAAGCCTCCCAAGTCACCCCAATGTTCCTATGTAACCCTCATCTCCTTTCAGCTAGAAGGATGCCAAGGTCACGCTTAGCCTATCGTTCTCGATACCAAGTATCTCGAATGACTTCATCATCTGCTCCAACCACTCATCTGCCTTCAGTGGCTTCTTCGAGTCTCCTAAAAACTCATCTGAATTAGATAAGAAGAACTCCCTCTTCAAAAATGATGGCCCTGCTTCGGCAACCTGGGCCTGCACTTGATGCTCAGCTCTGAGAATGTCCATGGATTCCCGTAAAGCTCCATCCATTTCATGGGCCAAATCGCCCATGGCCTGCTGACCAATTGGTTCAGCCACATTGGCTAGGCCAACCCCCTCCTTCTATGCTAGAATATCATCTAGTAACGGCACCTTCTGCCGTCTAGGCTTGCCACGCATACCACTACCATGTCCATGTCCTGACATCCTAATGAAGGTAATACAAGAGATTAGCATATACACAAATGTGTCAAAGCTAACTCACTCGCGTCCTAATGTGGTGGACAAAAATTAATTCACTCCACATAAACACATAATCACATAAACACATACTAATTTCCTTTCTAGATAATGATTATCTCGCGACGTTGCCAGAGTTCCAGTTAGAAATAACAATGATCAAGTGCTCATCTAACAGGACTTCTAGAAACTCGTAGACCCAATCAACATCTTAGAAATTTAATTCCATACCCACTTAGTCACATAAGCATGTTATCACAAAGCATACAGGGTTTATTCCTAATATCATCTAGCTAGGGAACCCATTGTGGTAATAACCACTTCTCACGATCTTAAAGTATTCAAACCCGGTAGCTTTGATACCAAGTTATAACACCCCGAATTAAGTACAATAAGATCAACCCACAACAGATATAAAATAATAACAGATGTTTGAATGTAATGTTCTCTAATTCATAGTTTTCATCTCTTTACAAAAGTGTAACACATGCAGTAATACATTCACAAGTCCTAACCCTGAATCTGTAGTATGTGTCATCAGTACAAGATATGAAATAAGAGTTAAACAAATATAGTAATGCCCTATTGGCTACAGATTTCCAAGATGCTGCTTGGTTACAACAAAAGTGAGCTTAAACTCAATACAAATTAAGCCCTAGGCTTGTACAAAATAAATACGACAAAGACAAAAATAAAAGCTCTTAGCTCTAAGTCCTCCCAAGCTATTGTCTTGGCAAAGGTATATCATCAGCACCTGAAAATAATTTTCTATATAAGGTGAGCCAATGCCAGTACAGATACTCTAACACAGTGTATGAATCTTAACAAAGTTATAAGGTAAATATATATACAATGCTTATGCCAAAACTTTTTATATCTCATTCCAAAACAATGTAATGCCATGTCATATCACAATTCTTGAATTCACTAGCTTTACAATAGAAAATAAGGTCATAGATACAACACTGGGAATCTCTAGGATGTGTTTACAAGTAGGCTACAAGCACTACTACCAATTGCCATTTTTACCGGTATTGACCGGAAGGCTTGGCACCTATCCGCACGGGTTTCTAAACTTTCACCAAGATCACACAAGCCAACTTAATACCATAACTACACTCCCTACCCAGATTCACCAAGGTATTCACCCATTTTTCTCAAAACAATAAACATTTTTAATGTAGTAAATATGTTACAATGCTCAATGCAATTGATGAGAAATTAGTTTTAATTCACCTAATTCTCATGCAATTTCTACAAAAATCATGGTTATCTTCCACCGATAGCCCAAAACAGATATCTCTAAACAAATAAGAAATTTTCAAATACAGATATACTTTCCAACATTTCTAAATATGAGTGATAATTCATATCCAACTCCACCACCACCATCACCACCACCATCACCACCATCATCATCATTCCAATTCTATAAAACCAACATCAATCAATTCCATTTTCTCTTTACAAAATCCAACATTCACATTTTGAGGCAAAATCCCTCTTCTTTGAAAATTAATTCCAATGATGAAAATCTGCCATTTTATCACAGCGCAACCATATCTACAATCCCATAATCATTTCCAATAAACCATTTTGAAAAACCCTCTTTTGATTTCAAAGCTAAAACCCTAAGTTTTATACAAAAATCCCCAAATCACAATATCCTTTTTAAAAGACTAATAACTAAGTTAAAAATCATAAAAAGAGTCGAACTAATCCCTACCTCAAGAAGAAGACACAAGGGAAAGATGGTTATAACTGGACGGAGCTGAAAACACAAACTTCTCTGATTAAAACGAAACCCTTGACGTGCGCTATCTTTTTATCAAAGGATCTAAGGCAAGGAAATCAATAGATCAAGGTGTATTTGGGTCAAATATTCAAGAACTAGAGAGAGTGTGTGTAGATCTAAGATTTTGAAGTGTTTAGAGAGAGAGAGAGAGAGAGAGAGATGTGAAAAAGTGATCAAAAAAGTGACTTCCTCGGAATGATATACGCATAGATCGCTTGAGTACTGGAATAGTCGTTCGAGCAATTAGACACAGCGAAGGGACTGTTTAAGTGGGAGAAAGGTCACTCGAGCACACATTACACCCCTCGCAGTAGTTCAGACCTGCAAAAGTTTGCTCGAGCACAGGAATGACAGCTCAAGCGAAGGACTTAAACTTTCAGTAGTTTGGCAGACTGTAAAAGACCGCTCGAGCGAACAGGCAAATTTCTAGGCAACAACACTTTGAAAAACCAACCTCCAAACCTGTTTCAACTGAACCAAGACATTTCAATAACCAAACTGATCAAGGAATAAGATGAAAGAAGACAAGAACAATCATCAAGACAAGAAATCCTGGATCCAAAACAATGAACTAGTCAGGTTTAAACCAGGGTCGCTATACAAAGAGTAAGAGGGAGTGAGAGAGAGTGAGTTGAGGGAAGAAAGAGAGCGGTGAGAGAGAGAGAGGACTCATGACTGTCGTCGAACACTGGTTCACCGCCGTCAACGATCAAAGGAGAGAGAGAGAGAGAGAGATCTGAGGAGAAGAAAAAGAGATGAGCATTTGGTTGGGTTTGTTTAGAGTTTGGAAACAATATATATATACCTACACTACAACAAAATTGAATTTTTACGACTTGCAATGCATGCCGTAAAAACTCTTTCACGACATGCACACAAATATCATTATATGACATGCCGTGGAAAGTTGACCATCATTTACAGCATACAGGTAAAGTTGTAAACAGTGATAAAATTAAACATTAATGACATACTTTGTATGTCGTATATAATTTTTTACGACATTTTTTTCCTTGCCATAAATCATCATATTTTTCATGGCATAGTTTTGCATGTTATAGAAGGTTATTTTTAATATGTTTATAGCATACTCTGTATGCTGTATATAATATTTTACGACATTTTCTTACATATCGTTACAATTTTCACAACATAATTTTGTATGCCATAGAAGATCATTTTTAATATATTTATGACAGACATTATATGTCGTATATAATCTTTTACGACATTTTCTTGTATATCATAAATCACTACACTTTTCCTGACATAATTTTATATGCAGCAGAAGGTTATTTTTAATATAATATATATACATATATAGAAATATAACATTGCCTAATAGAATGTAGACAGTAGCTTATAAAAGGCAACCTATGAACAAACCAAGCAAAAGCAGCAACTATAAAGTAAGCAAAAAAATCTAATATCCATACACCAAACAACCTGCATACTAACTTCTATCCTCAACTTCTATCATATCAAGCTAATAACAACTTCAAACATACAAACCAAGAAAAGTATCCAAATCATAAGATTCATTAATCTCTAAAATACGACTTTAAACATCCAAAAAGCATAACTACAAATCATAAATCAATTAGTCTAATATTTAGTCCGAAAGAATGAATTGACTAAGCCATGCAACTATACTTCATATAACATCTCGAAGATTATACATTTCATGAGTAGAACAAAACAACAGCACGTTGACTATTACGTGGTTCACCCATACGTTCGAACACATAAGTCCAAGGTTCACATGATGCACATTTGACTTAGGATCCCTTGATGCAATTTGGCCCTCTGCAACCACCAAGTTTGTCCCCTCCCAATGCAACAACTTACATTTGACATTACTTTGATCCTACAAAAATTAGGAGTATATAAGCATACTACATAACATCCATCCCATTTACCGAGTATTAGCTCAACAAATGAAATGAAAGTGTCAAAAAGTTTCAATCAGATTAAAAAAATTATTTATGTTGACAGAGTTAGAGTTGGTTGCAGCACATGGAGGGCTTGAAATGTCTGTTTTACTATTACTTTCAAAGGATGTACTCTCTCTACTAGTTTGTCTAAGGTTTTAAGGTTTTAATGTGGCTTCCGCCTTTCTCTAATTATGAGGACTTAATTTTGAGGACTAGAAAAATGACTTTTCCTCCTAATTGGAAATGATCGTTGTTACAGTATCTGATAACTGTTACATTAAAATAATCAAATTATATTACTATCGTCTTACAATGCCCTCTATTGCTAGCTAAGACAATTCTTGATGTCTCATGATATATTTATAGGATAACAAAGATTTTGTCAATTTTCATTTCAATTCACTAAAACCTTTTGGATCTCAAGTCAAAAGCTTTAACTTTTATTTCAAAATGAAATTTAATAACAACACCATTACTAAATGTAATCAATAGAGAACATACCTATCCAATCTAGAAAGATTTGCATCCATAAAACTTGCATCAACTTCAACATTATGCTTGTTCAATTAATCGCCCGTATCAAAAAAAGAAGAAGAAGAAATGTCTCGATGCTCATCGTGATGGAGGCTGAGAAAGAACAAACGAATTAAATGAGAAGGGGGTCGAATGTTTGCATTGACAAGTAAAACGACAACAAAATGGATTCCACATATCTTCTTCAATCAAAACTACTTTACGTTTATCAAAATTTCTATGCAACTTCACATGTTGTAGGCTCAATTGATAAAGTAGTTAAACCTAATGGTAAAACAAATTCAAATAATTTAGGTGTCACTGTGTTTATCTTGAAAAAGGAGGCAAAAATACTAGAGACTAAAGAGATACCTACACTTACAGGCCAAAATCACTTGCTGACTTTCACATGCCAGTTAACAGAGTGTTCTTATGAGAAAGGGTAGGTTAAAATTGCAACGTAATAAATAAATAAGTAACTATCAAAAGAGTGACAAAGTTGTCTAATTGCACTCGTAGATGCAATTTAACATGTACTAAACGAGATAATACTGGTTACAAGAGGGGTGAAAGACATATAATTTCTTTCATTGCTCATCCTACTCAAAGCTACTTTTGGAATCAAGTCCAAATTCATAGACTACTAGATGATGAAGACCATAACACAGCAGGGAGGCAAACAAATATTGAATAAATTGGCCCAAGTCAAAGTCATATTATAAGATACATCACCAACATTACATACATACATACATACATACATACATACATACATACATACATACATCACCATCATTACGTACATACATACATATATAAAGGAGTTGAAGGAATAAAAAAGTATTTGCTTTGCGTACATGAGAAAAGCAGAATTAATATAATCACGTCATATTTCTCCATATCATAGTGATGAAAAGTCTCAAGATGTGAGACCAAATCAGCAGCAGCATCATTGACGAAAACCAACCAAAAAGATGCCTGGCTACATATAAATGTAATGTATAGACAAACACTAGTCTCTTCATTGAGGTAGCTGGCATAGAGCAAACACATTTTACGGGCACCATCACCACCAGTATTATCATCTCACCAAAATCGATGAGAAAGCTCTGGAAATTAAGTTCATCCTAGCGATGACCGTTCGTTTGCCCAGAACTTAAATTTTCTCAGCAAGGAAAGGTAACCAAACCACCATAGGATAGGATTTGACATTGACTTGGGAGAAATATTTTCTTAGCTGTTGTTTTTACCTTAAAAAGTGAGGAAATATTTCTAGGGAATTAATATTTGATTAAATCTGAATATTTACAAGGAAAGTGAATTAGATTCCTAAAATTATAACAGACTTTTTTCAAAACCCTACCAATAGTAAAACAATCAAAACTCAAATTAATCAAACAAATAACATACAAATCCAATAAAAAAGATTGATTGAGAGAGAGAAACTGAATTAAGACCTTTTCTAGAGATCGCGGTGGAATTTGGCGGAGACGGAGGCTAGAGAGGTGTATGAGCTTCAAACAAAACAAGCATTCATACAAGTGGAAACCCTAGAAATCAAAATCAAAATCAAAATCAAAGAGAGATGAGAGAGGAGAAACTGAATTAATCGAACAAGGAATGTAATTCAAGGCTCTCACCGAATTAATCGAATAGAAACTGAAAAAATAAATGTGCAAGCAACAATATATACCGAAGTAATCAAATGGAAACTGAATAAGTTAGAAACTCACAAACAAAATCAAATTCATGGAAGGGGCTCAGAATCGAATCGAACTCCAAGCTCAGAATTAGAATCAAACGCCAAGCTCAAAAGATATCAGTAGTGATTTGAGGGGCAGCAGCTGGTAGTGCTCGTGCGTTTGTATGAGATGCCGATGGAGAAGAAGAAGATAAAGAAGAAGAAGAAGAAGAGAGAGAGAGAGAGACGTATATTCAGGAATCCAAAAAAATGTGTGAGTTTAACAATGTTAATAAATTTGTTTAAAAAAACAAATAACAATATTAATAATGATAATAATAAATCTGAGATGCAAAGAATGTGTAACTTTAATAATATTAATAAATAAATAAAATTTGGAGTAGAAAATTTTAGACAAAAAGATTTAAGTATAAGTTTATAAATTATTTTTGTATTAAAAAAAAGCTAGATTATAACTAAAAAAAATCTAGTTTATTGGAAAAAAATAAATAAATAAAAATTTCTCATATCCACTAGAAATCTATAAATATTTAAGAACATCTAGAATTTTTATTATTATTATTTATAACTAAAATATAATTTCTCTAGAGAATGAGAGGGTTTAGGACAAAAACAGGTATGGATATAGAATGAGAGGAAGTGTGGCGTAAATTTTTAAATAATTTTTTCTTTTTACTTTTTAAATTCAAATAATTTATATATACTTAGAAGGAAAATATTTTTTAATTTTCTAAAAAAATCACTAAATTCAAAAAAATATATAATTTAATATTTTAGGACATGAAATGTATATTGTCTTAAGTGTAAATATTTTATAACATATTTTTGTATGCAATGAAAATATATATTTTTTATGCTATACTTTTGCATGTCAAAACAAAATCGGATTGATTTTTTTTTTAGAAGTTTTCACAACATGCATAACATGTCATGTAAGGTTATAATATTTTATAACATGAAATATATGTTGTCTTAAGTGAAAATATTTTATGACATATTTTTGTAAGTCGTAAAAACATACATTTTTTATGACATATTTTTACATGCTATAAATATATAAGTTAACGACTTACATGGTATGTATGCTGTTATTGAAAAAACATTAAAGACTTGCAAAAAAAATTAATTCGTAGAATGTACTAACTATGACATGCATTCGATACATGCCGTAAACATAATACTGTAAATAGTTAGTTTTGTTGTAATACTAGGTAGTTTGGTTATTTTGTAAGAACTTGTCCTTATAGACAAAGAAAAGTGACACCTAGATCTTTGGATAAAAAAAAAATCTAATTTTGGACTTTTGGCCAAGAGCCCATATATATATATGGGAGCTTTTTTGATAAATCCATTTTCTAAGAGCTTTATTCCATCCAACCCATATTCTTTTTGACTATTCCATTAGGTTCAATTTGAGATAAGAAGACCAAAATACCCTTTTCATCTACTTATGTTCCATTTAGTTCACATTATTTTCTTATGTTTCAATAAGTCCTATGGGTGACATAATTACCAAAATACCCCAGCTAAAACTCAGATAGTGTCAACACCAGTATCAATATTGGGCTCAATTTCATGAGAGGTAGTGTCTACATCTATAAATGATACATCCCTCCAGTTTTAAAACTCTAAATAGAATTTTAATGACTTGACAATGAAAAAAAAAGAAAAAAAAATAAGACACAAACATCACATCATTGTGAGACTCACGAATCATTAGAACTCTCTAAAACTCCACAATTAAAACTCCCCTAATCTTTTTTTGTCTACATCCGGCACAACAGGATCGACACCACTGTCAACACTGGGCTCAATTTCATGGAGGGAAAAATGATTTTGCCAAAATATAGCATTTGTGCATTGAAGAAAAGAAATCTTGTAAAAAAATTAAGTTCATTAAATATTAGTAACTAGATAATTAAATTACATTTGCTTACAAAAAAATAAATAATTTATTCTTAAAATCATATTTGTTATTCAATTTTATAAAAAAAATTAATCCAAATATATAATTATCAATATCTGATCAACTTAATCCTTTTTTATGTATTATTTACCTAACTAATCTAACAAAATACAGATAACCAAAGTGTGCTCCAAAATGAGCCACCAAACCTAACAGCCCCTATCCACTCGAATCACCAATAAAAAAAAAGAAGTGATAAAGCATGGTACGGATATGGATACGGGGCTGATATTAGTATATCATGGATACGTCGATACGTTAAAATCTTAAAAAAATAAGATATAAATACGATTTGATATGTTTGTAAAAAAATATTTATTTTTAATTTAGAGTAACGTAAAATTTAATTAAATAATTTAATTTGTTAAGATCTAACCTGTAATTAACATTTCATGTTAAAAGTAAAAGTATAAATCAAAATCAAATGTCAATATATTAAAGGGTAAATTACATTGACACCTCCTGAGATCTGATCCGATTACATTCCACCTCCTGACGTTCTAGAAATTATATTCTCACTTCTATGATTAATAGTCTTATTTCACAAATTGCTCTGCTTATATAAAAGACAACAACTCCTTAGATAAAAAAATAGAGTCAATTACACTGAAAAAAAAAGAGTAAAACAAAGGAAAGAAAAAAAATAGAGGAAATAAGCAAAACAAGAAAAAAAAAGAGTGCATGAGTTCAATATTTTCATTCCGTCTAAATATTTACAATGACAAGGGGTCAGTGTAATTTCTTCGGGCCGCCCACGGGTTGCGGGCCAATTTTACACTCCTATCAATGTGAATGTTAACATGTCAATGTGAATATTCACATTGCCAACGGGCCCGCCCTGGTCCGAGGTCGGGTTTCGGGTTGCCCACGGGTCACGGGCCAATTGTACACTCTTATCAATGTGAATGTTAACATGTCAATGTGAATATTCACATTGTCAACAGGCCGGACCGAGCACGCCCCGGGTCGCCCACGGGTCGTGGACGGGTTTCGGGCAGCCACGGGGCGCGGGCTAATTTTACACTCCTATCATTGTGCATGTTAACATGTCAATGTGAATATTCACATTGTCACGGGTCGGGCCAAGCCTGCCTCGGGCTGCGGTCGGGCTTCAGGGCCGCCCACGGGCTGCGGGCCAATTTTACACTCTTATCAATGTGAATGTTAGCATGTCAATGTGAATATTCACATTGTCAATGGGTCGGGCCGAGGGCCAGCTTTTGGCCGTCCATGGGCCGCAGGCCAATTTTATACTCTTATCAATGTGAATATCCACATGTCAATGTGAATATCCACATTGTCAACGGGCTAGACCGGGCCCGCCCATGGGCCGCGGGCGGGTTTCGCGCCGCCACGGGACGGGGGCCAATTTTACACTCCTATTAATGTGAATGTTAACATGTCAATGTGAATATTCACATTGTCAACGGGCCAGGCCGGGCCGAGTCGGGCCCGCCTTGGGCTGATGTCTAGTTTTATACTTTTATCAATGTGAATGTCAACATGTCAATGTGAACATTCATATTGTTAACAGGCTGGGCCGGACCCACCCACGGGTCGTGGGCGGGTTTCGGACAGCTACGAGGCGCGAGCTAATTTTACACTCCTATCAATGTGAATGTTAACATGTCAATGTGAATATTCACATTGTCAACGGGTCGGGCCGGGCCCGCTCCGGCTGTGGACGGGCTTTTGGCCGCCCATGAGCCGCGGCCCAATTTTATACTCTTATTAATGTGAATGTTAACATGTCAATGTGAATATTCACATTGTCAACAGGCCGGGCCGGGCCCGCCCCGGGCCGCCCATTGGCCGCGGGCGGGTTTCGCGCCGCCACGGGACGGGCCAATTTTACACTCCTTATTAATATGAATTTTAACATGTCAATGTGAATATTCACATTGTCAACGGGCCGGGCCCACCTGGCCGCGGGCGGGTTTCGGGCCGTCCACGGGCCAATTTACATTCCTACAAATGTGAATTTTAAAATATGAATGTTCACATCATTAAATTGCTAATCGTTCAAAAAATATTTGTAAGGGTATCAGAATTGAATATAAGGACATAAGTGTCCAAGAAAATAGTGTAAATCAAGAAAATGGACTTTATGGAATAAAACTATACATACATGGGACTAAATGGGTTAAAAAATTCTTTCATGGACTTCTTGAGTTAAAGCACTTCTAAATTGGACTTATCAATAAAAATCTCTCTCTCTATATATATATATATATATTTTTAATAAAATAAAAAGAAAAAAAGGAAGAAGATGAAGGGGAAAGAAAGAAAGAAAAAAAAAAAATAGTTTAGCATTTGCAATTGAGAAATTCAGTCCAAACTGTATGAAACTCAACCCAAAAACCCACGGAAAGCCTATCTCGGCCCATTTCACTAGCCCAATAATACACATAGAGGCCTGCTACCTTTTTTTAACAAACATTGGCATATTAAAGCCCATATTAATATGGATTTAAGGCTATGTTTATATTTAAAAAAAATGAATTAAAAGTTAAATTTTAATAATTTGTTTCCCATTCAATTAGGATTAGAATGAAAGAGAAGTAAAATGTGGGAAAGAGAAAAAAATAAAAAATAAAAAAAAATTTATCTAAATTTATTTAGCATTAGAATGGTAAAAATATAAGAAAATTTAAATTTCTTATACAACTCAATTTTACACAAAAAACACAATTTTTTTTTTTTCCCTCTAGTCAAAGTCGGTAATTGTTATCTCACTTTTAATTTCTCTTATAACTTTATCACACAAAATTTCATCTTAATGAAATATCTACAAGAAATTTCACCTTTTTTTTCACTTGACTTTTTTTATCATTTTTGTCTTTCCATCATAATTTTCACTCTAAACGTCCACTTTTTGGTCTAATTTATTTGATAGATTATACTGACTCTCTCCCGTTGTTTTAAAAAATACAAATAGTTTTAGTCTAATTACATTCACCTCTTTCTTCAAAAACACATATATTAATGACATTAAATTTGACAATGATTGTTTTTTTATGCCCTTCTATTTTTATTGAGTAATGCTATATGCCTCTGTTTGGCAAGTTGATTTTCAGGTTTTTTTGGTTATTTTAGTCACAAAAAACAAAATAAGCTATTTTAGCCATAACAAACAAAACATCACATCCAACCTATAATCATTACATTCTTCTCTCACAAAAAAAGTCAAAAAAGTCAAAAAGCCAAAAAGCCCTTCCCAAACCAAGCTTTTTAGCCCAGGCTAAAATAGCCAAAAAAGCCAAAAAGCCAAAAAGCCAACCTAC